CAGTTGGAGAGATGAGCAAGGGCCTTGTAAACCATTCATTCATCCAAAAAATGTGAGCAACATGCTTACACAGGAGGCTCTGAGTCAAGGCTGGGGGTTTGGGGACTGACAAAGCTGCAAGGCCCCTGTTCTTTTTTTTTTTTGGCCACGCTGTGTGGCATGTGGGATCTTAGTTCCCCGACCAGAGATGAACCCGCACACCCTGAAGTGGAAGTGCAGAGTCTCAACCACCGGACCACCAGGGTAGTCCAAGGTCCCTGTCCTGAAGGCACTGACCTGGTGGGAAGAACGCATGAGAAGTCAGTATTGTAAATAAGGAAGCAAGATGATTGCAGACAGTGATCAAATAAGTGCTATAGTTAAAACTTTGTGCTTTATTAAAAGGACTATTTTAAAAAGATCATTCCAGCTCTAGAAAGAGCTGGGAGCACAGGAAGTTGGGAGACTGTTTAGGGGAGTGTTGACGTAGTCCAGGCAGGAGATGAGGCCGCTTTGGCCAAGGGAGGCAGTGGGGAGGAGAGGCAGGCATGGATTAGAGAGAGAGCTAGAATCCATAAGATGCGGTGATAAATTTGATGTTGGGGGCAAGAAAGAAGGTAGAAATACTTCCGAATACTCATCTGAGAGAACACTGCCCAGTGAGGGGAAGGAACACGCAGCCTGACAGAATCTCCCCCCAAAGCAGACCTACTGTGTGCTTCTATTTACATCAAGTTTTAAAACAGGTAAAACTTGGGACTTCCCTGGTGGAGCAGTGGTTAAGAATCCGCCTGCCAGTGCGGGGGACACAGATTCGAGCCCTGGTCCAGGAAGATCCCACATGCCGCAGAGCAACTAAGCCCATGAACCACAACTACTGAGCCCGCGAGCCGCAACTACTGAGCCAGTGAGCCACAACTACTGAGGCCACGTGCTGCAAAACTGAAGCCTGTGCACCTAAAGCCCGTGCTCCGCAACAAGAGAAGCCACCGCAATGAGAAGCCCGCACACTGCAACTAAGAGTAGCCCACGCTCTCCTCAACTAGAGAAAGCCCGCGTGCAGCAACAAAGACCTAACACAGCCAAAAGAAACAAACAAAAAAAGAACAGGCAAAACTAACTGTGATGATAGAAGCCAGAATGGTGATTAACCTTGGCGGTGTGGGGAGGACTGGAGCCTAGGAGGGGGCATGAGGGGCTGCTGTGATGTGCTGTTTCTTCATCTGGTGCTGGCTCCACGGGAGTGTTCTGAAAATTCATCAAGCCAGTTCTTTCTTTCTCTCGGCCGTGCCATGCAGCTTGTGGGATCTTAGTTCCCCGACCAGGGATCGAACCTGGGCCCTCGGCAGTGAAAGCACAGAGCCTTAATCACTGGACCACCAGGGAATTCCCAAGCCAGTTAGTTAGTTTTTTTTTTTTTTAGATTTATTTATTATTTATTTATTTAATTTTATTTTATTTTTGGCTGCATTGGGTCTTACTTGCGGTGTGCGGGCTCTTCGTTGCAGCATGCAGGTTTCTCTCTTGTTGTGGCCTGCGCAGGCTCCAGGGCGCCTGGGCTGTATAGTTGTGGCGCGCAGGTTCCAGAGCACGTGGGCTCTGTAGTTTGCAGCACACAGGCTCTCTAGTTGAGGTGTGCGAGCTCAGTAGTTGTGGCACTTGGGCTTAGTTGCCCCTCAGCATGTGGGATCTTAGTTCCCTGACCAGGGACTGAACTTGTGTCCCCTGCATTGTAAGGCAGATTCTTTACCACTGGACCACCAGGGAAGTCCCCAGTTAGTTATTTCTGATCTGTGCACTTTACTGTCTGGCTGCTGTGCTGTAATAAAAAGTTTACTTAAAAACAATGACTCTCAGGTTTGTTTGTTTGTTTTAAATTTTTTGATCAACTATTGGTAAGTAGATGGGGAAACTGAGGAAGGAACAGGTTCATGGGGACAGATAATGAGGTACCTGGAGAAAACAAGTGGAGGTGTCCAAGAGGCACCTGGAGGTACAGGTGTGGACTTGGAGGAGCATTAGGGCTGCGAGAAACTTTGGAACCCCTGGAGGGATTCAATGCCAGTGGAATAGATGAGGCAATTCAGGGAGCAAATCAGGGAGGGTGTGCAGAGGCAAGGGGCACCAGAACCAGGCTTGAAAGGGTGGCTGCCCTCTGCCTCCTGGATCTGTGATCTATGGCAGTCCTCTGGCCACACCCACTCAGGGCTCATCCCCCTCATCTACAACTCCCATGCCCTGCCCACCTCCCCACCCAGAGGCCTCTCTGCCTTAGCGTGGCCTCCTACACATCTGACCAGGGCAGCTTGGAAGCCCCAGGCCTCTGGCTCCTTCTTCTACAGTGGCCTGCCTTTGGCTGCCTCTTCTCTTGGGTTTTGTCTACTCTCTGGGGCTTCTTGAGGTCTTGGGGGATGGGAGAATCCTGCCTTTGAACCCCCTCCCACAATCCATACCAAAAAAAAAAAAAATTGATAATTGCACATCATCGAGATGAAAGACTTGCTCTGTGAAAACAATGTTAAGAAAATGAAAGGATGAGGGACTTCCCTGGTGGGCACTAGAATTCAAATTACCAGATGTTTTAAAGAGATGGGGTGCCAGTTTTCAATTCTGGTTTGAACACCACGTTACAAGGAACTATTTTTAAAAATAAAAAAGGATTATATGTATATGTATAACTGATTCACTTTGTTATAAAGCAGAAACTAACACACCATTGTAAAGCAATTATACTCCAATAAAGATGCAAAAAAATAAAAAAGGATTAAGGGAAAAGAACAAAAAATAAGAATATCAAAACCGTTGAATGCACCCGTTTGTTCCCGATAAACTTCAATCACATCTGCTCTCTCCATTCCCAGTTCTTTTGGAGTGTGATTATCAGCAATTCTCTGACCTTCGAAGAGAAACCCGAGTGAATTCATGGGAGCTCCCTGTCTTTGACATTATGATTCTTTGAGTTTCTTGAGATGTGTCGTCATTTTCACTTTGAAGTGAATCTCACTGCCATCCTGTCCGATGACTTTGAGTTTTATATATTCTCCTTCCTTCTTAGCCCCCGAGTCCTCAGTTGAAGGTTTTGAAATGGGGAGGCATTTAGTGAGTACTTAAAAGTGTGAACTTAAAAATGTTAAGGCAGGGACTTCCCTGGTGGCACAGTGGTTAAGAATCCGCCTTCCAATGCCGGGGATACGGGTTTGAACCCTGGTCTGGGAAGATTCCACATGCCGCGGAGCAGCTAAGCCCGAGCGCCACAAGTACTGAGTCCGTGCTCGTGGAGCCCGTGCTCTGCAACGAGAGAAGCCACCTTAATGAGTAGCCCCCGTTCTCGGCAACTAGAGAAAGCCCGTGCACAGCAACAAAGACCCAACACAGCCAAAAATAAATAAATAAATTTATTTTTAAAAAGTTAAGGCAGTAAATATTGTTAAATTTATGTAATGTGTATTTTATCACAGTAAAAAAAAAAAATAGGGAAAAAATGTCACCTGTCCCATATGGAAAGTAATGCAGGTTCTGACTGTCCAATACAACCGGCTGTAAAGCGTAACTGAGCCAGTGAAGATGAAAAGGCTTAAGGTCTGCTATGTGTGTGGCGGGGGCGGGGGGTGGCGGTGTGGAGAGGATGAGCTAGGTGGTCCTGGGCAAAGCCTTCCTCCCCCACCTTGGAGCTGCTGGCCGGGCTCCCCATACCCCTAAAAGACCTTGGGAGGAGGATGTGGCCCCTGGGAATTCTCACGCCAAGACAGTCTCCTCTCTGGCTCCCAGGTTTGGGGATTCCTGGATCTGAAACAAACACAGACACATCCAGCGACCCCTCCCCAGCGAGGCCCAATCCCTGAATCCCATCTTACTCATCAGCCGCTCGCCTCAGCCCAGGCCGGTAGCATTCCCGCCCCGCGCCTTGGCTCTGCATTTGTAAAGAGCCGAGAGGGGCTCCTGCTGCCTTTCAGGCTGTGGGGTCCAGCTAGCCTGCCTTCACCCCTCTTGTAGGTGATGAGATCAACCCTCTTGTAGGTGATGAGACTTTGGAGGAGCTTTTACCTTGGGGAGCCGCAGCTGGGAGACGAATGGTGGAAACTGACTGGATTTTCTCCAGGTAGAGGTGGGTGGTGATGGCGAGAAGCCCCACCCTTTCCCAGGAAGGGGCCTGATTGGTGGAGAGCTGCGGGGGCGGGGCAGCCCTGGGGCTATATAAATGCGCTGGCTGGGCTTGGAGTCACGCTGTAGGTTAACTCCTGAGCTCAGGTAATGCTTCTGGAGGGAAGAGGCTGGGCTGCTTGTGGGAAGCAAGATGGAGGCCCCTAGGTTGACCGAGGGGTGGTGGAGCCCCATAGTTGGAGTCTCTTTCTTCGTAGCTAAAAATGTTTGAGGTGGCCCCACCTCAACTTGCCCTAAACCCCAGTATTTGTCCAATAACCTTCCTCTCTCTGGGCCTCAGTTTTCCTTCTGGGCGGTAAAGGGTTGCTGGTTCTTTCAGGGCTGCCGCTTTGGTGAAGGGTGAGGGGGTTGTTGTGAGGTGGGAGACAAGAGGAGCCGTTAAACTCTGGCTTTGGGGTCAGACAGGCTCCACCTTGAAGTGGCCGTGAGACCTCCATGCTTCAGTTTCCGTGTTTGCAAAATGGGTCTACTTACCAGGATGAAATAAGATAATGTCCTTAAAGCATTTAACACAGCTTCAGGCACTTAGGAAGCCCTCAGAGGTGTTTGTTGCTGCTGTTCTTCCTCTCTGGCCTGGTCTGGGGTGCCAGGAGGAGGGGGGAGGGTGTAGCCTCCAGGAGCTCTGCTGCTTTTCTGCCCCCATCCCCGCCCCCTCCCCCCACCCGCTGCGCCACATCTCAGTTTCCTTCTGTTCTGAGCCCCTATTTCCCATGCCTCCACTTCCCAGAGGTCATCTGTCAGGCCAGCATGCTGATCCCCTTGACTTCTGGGGGGCAGTGGGGTAAGTGCTAAGTCCTGGGCTGCTTCCTTTACAGGTCACCCCGTCCCACCCCACCTCACCCACCCCCACCCCCCAAGAGATGAGTGATGCCCAAGATCCTGCCACAATCCCTGCGGTTGGCACTCAGGTGAAGCTGAGGGGCTGGAGCCGTCAAGGGGAGGGGGGTGAGTCTTTCCATTTCCGCCGGCACGAGGAGCTCCAGGCCTTCCTCAGCCTTCTGGGTGAGTCCACTTGGGGGCTGGCACGGCAGGGGCCGTGGGGACCAAGCGTGAACAGGTATGGGAGGTGGGATCTCAGCTTGCCCGTGCAATCACCTGCAGCCTCTGTCCCTTCTCTTCTCAGGTGGCCCCAGTTTGGCAGGTGGGGAGTGTCATGTCAGAAAGTGGGTTCAGGGGAGGCTTGGGCTTTGGAACGGCTACTGCCCCTCTTATCTTGTGTGTGTTGGGGTGGTAACCCCAGTCCACTGTTTCTCCTCTCTACCCCCAGAGCACAGTTTCCTCCAGGATTTCCTCTCCAAAGATCCCTGTTTCCAGATTTCAGATAAGGTGAGAGGGCACAGTGGGGGCAGAGGCCAGCCTCGCTTGGGGAAGATTGAATTAGTGGGGCTCCGGTGCTGCTAATTCATTGGGTCCTCTGGTCTGGTGGAGGGAGCGCCTCCCTTCTAACCCTTCTCTTTGCAGGCCCCTCCCCACCATTTTACCCCAGAGCTTTTAGCCCCACCAGAACTTCCTTGGGTGCAGAAGGGGCTGGCGCAGCCCCTCCCCACCCAGTGCCTCATTCTAACTCGCCCCATTTCTGTGTCTGCAGTATCTCCTGGCCATGGTGCTGGTCTACTTCCGGCGCGCCAACCTGCAGCTCAGCGAGTACACCCACAGCAATCTGTTCCTGGCACTGTGAGTGGCCTGGGCGCGTGATGGGGACCCTGACTCGGAGTGGCAGGGTGGGGCAGGGAGATGCTTACAGCCTGTGTTCCCTGCCCCCTGCCTCTGTGGCCAGGTACCTTGCAAATGACATGGAGGAAGACCTGGAGGACCCCAAAAGCGTGATTTTTCTGTGGGCCCTGGGCCAAGATTGGCATCATCGAGTGTCAGACTTCCTGTGTCAGAGGGACAAGCTATGGGCACGGATGGGCTTCAGGGCCGTGGTGAGACGCCAGAGCTGCGAGGAGGTGAGGTCCCGCCAGCACCCTGGGGTGGGGGAAAGAGGCTGGACCTCCCACCTCCCATTTACCATCCACTCTTCTCATGCCAGGTCATGGCCAAGGAGCCGACCCACTGGGCCTGGACTCGGGAGAGGCATCCCCACCACGGCAGGGCTCAGAGGAGCTACCCAAAGGCCCAGATCCCCCTCCCCCGGGGCCCCGGCCTCTCGCCACCCCACTGTCCCCTGTGTGGCTTGCCCCCTTGCCACAGCCACCGCTGCCACCACCCCTGCCCCTTGCCTGTCATATCCAAGTGCCCTTCCCAAAACCCTGAGCGGCACCGCCCTCCCTCCCAAGCTTGTCTCTCAGTGGCTGGAGACTCCTGGAGTGGGGCCTTCCTCATTGTCCTGCCCACCCAGCTGCAACTGGAGCCAGGCACCTACACCCTCCACAGTGAGTAGGGTACAGTAGGGGGAGCTGAGAGGGGCTGGGGGGCAGGTGCGGGGCCAGCAGAATGGGAAGGAGGGGCCTGGGGTCCAGCACACCTGGGCATGTGTCCAGCCCTGCCACCTCCTAGCCGCCTGGGCTTGGCAAGTTTCCTCTGAGCCTCTCTCCATCCTTCCTCCCCCAGTCTTCTCAAAGCTGCTGCCATGCCCTCGGCGCTGACACTCGCAGGGTGAAGAACAGCCCGTCTGCTCGCCTGCTGACCCAGTGCTCTACTGGCTGGGGCCCCTCCGGCCTCCTGTCTACTTGGCCTCAGGCTGGCAGGGCTGCCCATGCCCCCTGCCCCTTCCTCCCAACCTGCAACTTGTACGCACTCTGACCTGACTCCTCAAGTAAATTCATGTCCACAGGACACCAACTGTGCTTAGGCCCTAGTCTGGGTCCCTGACCCAGGGTGGGGGTAGGGAGGGAGCTACCGGGAGAGGGGCATCTGCCAGGTTTAGGTACCAGTGGTTGGAAACCCATGAGCACAGGTCCTGTAATAGCTCCTCTCCTCCCATTCGTGACCAGTCATCCTGAGCCTGTTTCCCCTTTTTAACATCCATGTGGATGGTGAGATCCACACAGTGCAGATGGGACTAAATGAGATGAGGTATATGCAGTCCTTAGAAAAGGGTCTGGAACCTACTGGACAAAAAAATGCTCAGAAGGAAAACGGTTCCATTGTCAGTCTAGAAATGCCTGCAGGGTCAGGTCTATTTAGGAATGAGCCTTGGTCCTTGCTCTGGGCGGCAATCGAATATAATGTAATTATTATAATACAAGACCCCCTCTCCCTTCCCCAAAGTAAGTTTGTTAATTGGGGAGCAGGGAAGACTCACCCGAGGAGCTGGCATTTGAACGGGGCCTTGAACAATGTCAGGTTTGCCCGTGCTCGGGTGGTGGTGTTGGGGTGCTGGTGGTGAGGAACAGTGTTCTTGGAAAGACAGTCCAGAGTAGTGATTAAGACTTGGTCTCTGGTGCCAGACAGCTTAAGTTCAAAGTCCAGGTTTATGTGTGACTTTAGCCTGTTATTTAATCTCCTCTACTGCCTCATCTGTAAAATGGGTATTACACTAAAAAGGGTGTCGGTTGAGATTTGAATGAGTTAATCCTAGAAGGGTTTAGAACTACGTTTCAAGAGTAGAGCTCAAATGTGGGTGTTACTAGTAGAGGGAACTGCTGCCCAGAGAAAGGCTAGAGGGGAATGTACGTTTGGGGAGCGGCCGGAACACAAGACAGAGAAGTCTAAAGGGTCAGGTGGCAGAGGAATCTGGACGTGATTCCCCTGCCTCTCTATGAGTGGCTCCCAAGAAGTAAGGAGGTAAAGCCTGGAGACTGCGACCATTAGAAGCCATGACAAGGACTGTAAAGTATTTGTAAGAGTTTTTCAAATAGGTAATATATTCACATGTATGTTTTGAATTTTGCACCAAGTGTCACCTTCTACCCCTGACTCCCAGCCATCTGGTTCCCCTTCCTGGAAGCAATGAAAGTAATAATTCATGTCCTTCCAGAGAAAGAATCTGAATGTATATAACCAAATGTGGTATAATAAAAATATACATATTTGGTCTTTGTCCTTGGTTCCTGGCACAGAGCTCCTAAAACCCTTAGAATTTCCAGAGTTACAGGAGTGTCTTTTGTTATTCATAATGAGCGCCTCTGGATCATACCTGAGTTTATGCTAATGAGGTTACTCAGGATGGGGGAAAACTGATCACCAGAAAAACTGATCTAGAGGGTGGGAACTTTCAGCTTCCCTACTTCCTCCAGGAGGGGCAGGGCACTGGAGATTTGGAGTTTGTGGGGAGGGTGGCTCCGCCTGCACCCCCCCCATCTTGCCCTATGAATCTCTTCTATTTGGTTGCTCCTGAGTATCCTTTATAAGAAACTGTTAACAGTAGGTAAAGCACCTTCCTGAGTGCTGAGAGCGTTCTACTGAATTATCAGGCCTGAGGAGGGGTGTTGTGGGCATCCCCAAATTTGTAGTCGGCCAGACAGGAGCGTGGGTCACCTGGGCACTCCATTTGTGGCTGGCATCTTGTGGAACTGAGCCCTTAACCCATGGGGTCTGCGCTAACTCTGGCAACTGGTGTCCGAATTGAATTGTAGGCACCTAGATGGTTTTGGAGAGTTGGTGTGGATCCGTCGCATGTATTTGGTATCCGGGAAAAAAGCTATTTGGTGTGAGACGTGGTGTCAGAAAAAAGATACCACACCAAATATGCATATATGTCCCACCCCCATTTTTAAAACACTCCAGTGGGAGAATTCCATACATCCTACTGTGTACTTATCAACGTATTTTAAAGATGGTTCCTTGTCTGCACATTCCTTTTGACAGCTGTGTAGTATTCCTCTGTGTGGATGTACTATAATGTATCTTTTTTCCTATTGATTGGCATTTGTTTCTACACTTCTGCTATTCCAAACAGTGCTATAGAGAGTCACTAAGACCTTGTAAGAACAGCATTATTCAAATGTGAAAAGGTATCTGTAGAGTGAATTCCTAGAAGAATTGTTCAGCCAAAGGTCAAGTCAAAATTGAAGGACTTTGCCAAATGTCCCTCTGCTGGGGCTATGCCTGTACTGACCTTCCCCCCCAACCTCTAGCAGAGCATGTGAAGGCTGTTTTCCAGAACACTCACCAATCAGTGAGGTACCAGATTGTTTTATGTTTGCCAAACTGCTAAGTAGAAAATGGCGTCTTGGTGAAGGTTTAATTTGTATTTTTCTTTTGAGTGAGCTCAAGCATTGTTTCATATGTTTACGAGCTCTTTGTCTACTTTTTTGTGAACTGTCCTTGTCTTTGCCCATTTTGCCACTGTTTTTGGTACCTGACTCACATATAAGGAAAAGTAGCCTTTCAGGATGTAAATTGGAAGTATTTTCTTTGGTTTATCATTTTAACTTTGCTATGCAGATTTTTTAGTGTAGTAAAATAAATTTTTGTGGCTGCTGGGTTTTGTGTCATAGTTGAAAAGACCTTTTCCACACTGAGATGATTAAAAGACTGTCTCCCTTAGCTGCTGGCTGTATTTTTGTTTTCATTTTTTACATTTAAATCATGAGTTCATCTGGAATTTATCATATACAAAATTCCTGCCCATTTTCGTAATGCCTTTTAGTGAAAAACTCATCTTTTCTCAGCAGATTTGAATTGCTGCTCTTATACTAAATTTCTATATGCATTTGGATCTATTTCTAGGTTTTTCTATCTTTCATTGATCTTTGTGTATCAGTACCTCTCTTCATTACGTCTAATTATTATAGATTGGATTTAATATCTGGTAGGGTTAGTCTCCTGTCTTCAGGAGTCTCTTAGCTATTCTTTTTTTTTTTTTTTAATTTATTTATTTTTGGTTGCATTGGGTCTTCGTTGCTGTGCACGGGCTTTCTCTAGTTGCGGTGTGCGGGCTTATTGTGGTGGCTTCTCTTGTTGCGGAGCACGGGCTCTAGGCTCACGGCCTTTAGTAGTTGTGGCTTGCAGGCTCTGGAGCGCAGGCTCAGTAGTTGTGGCACACGGGCCCAGTTGCTCTGCGGCATGTGGGATCTTCCCGGATCAGGGCTCGAACCCATGTCCCCTGTATGGGCAGGTGGATTCTTAACCACTGTGCCACCAGGGAAGTCCCTCTTGGCTATTCTTGCTTGTTCAATTTTCCATATGAAGTTTAAATCAGCTTTTCTAGTCCCTCTTCCCCTCAAACAATCTGTTAGAATTTTTAAAAATCTGTTAGAATTTTTTATTTTTTTGGCCACACCACGCGGCATGCGGGATCTTAGTTCCCCGACCAGGGATGGAACCTGCGCTCCCTGCACTGGGAGCGCAGAGTCTTAACCACTGGATGGCCAGGGAAGTCCCTAGAATTGTTAATTTCAATAAATCTATAGATTACTTTAAGAACAGACATCTCTATGAAGCATCTTTGTGTCCAGAATGAAGTGTCTGTCCCCTGCCTCTACGTACTTCTTTCAGGTGGCACCGATGGCCAGTGACTCCCAAATCTGTACCTCTATTCTGAGGGCTAGTCCCACCCCCAGGCATCTCCCCTTGGATGGGGGTGGGTCCCAAAGGTACCTCCCAAACCTGATCCTCCAGTATCCCCTCCAGATTAGTGTCCCCCACACCATTAATCCACCCAGATTCCTCCCTATCTCCCAAGAGCCATATCCAATCAGTGGCTAAGTTCTATAGGTGTTTCCAACAGCTTTATTGAGGTATAGTTGACATACAATAAACTATGTATACTTAAAAGGTACATTTTTGTTTTGACATGTATACCCCCATGAAACCATTATCACAATCAAGGTAATGAACGTATCCATCACCCCAAAAAGTTTCCTCAAGCCCCTTTGTAATCTCTCCCTCCCGCCCTTTCCCACCTGCCGGCCCCTCCAGGCACCACTGACCTGCTTTCTGTCACTAAATGGCCATCCTTTTCCTCGAATTCTCATAGAAATGGAATTATATAGAAGAATGTACTTTGGTCTGGTTTCTTACACTCAGTATAATTATTCTGAGATTCATCCATTGTTGTTCCTTTTCATTACTGGGTAGTATTCTATTGTATATATACGCACCACAATTTGCTTATCCGTTCACAATTTGTTGATGAACATTTGGTTGTGTCGAGTTTTGGCTGTTACAATTAAAACTGCTATGAATATTCACACACAAGTCTTTGTGTGGACACACGCTTTTATTTCCCTTGGGTAAATGCCTAGGAGTGGAATGGCTGGGTCGTGTAGTAGGTGTGTACTTAACTTTATTTTTCTTTTTTTAAGATAGACTATTTTTTTAGAGCAGTTTTAAGTTTACAGAAAAACTGCTCAGAAAGGGTAGAGGATTCCCATATCCCTTTTCCCACCTGCGCACAGTTTCTCCTATTAACATTTTGCATTAGTGTGGTATATTTGTTACAATTGATGAACCAATATTGATACATTGTTATTAAAGTCCATAGTTTACTTTAGGGTTCACTCTTAGTGTTGTACATTCTATGGGTTTTGCATAATGTTATGTATCCACCACTACAGTATGACACAGAAGAGTTTCACTGCCCTACAAATGCCCTGTGCTCCCTTCCCCCACCTTCCCTGAAATCTTGGCCATCACTGATCTCTTTACTGTCTCTAGTTTTACCTTTTCCAGAATGTCATATAGTTGGAATCATACACTATATAGTTTTCTTATACTGGCTTCTTTTTTAAAAAAATTAATTTAATTAATTATTTTGGCTGCCTTGGGTCTTTGTTGCTGCGCGTGGGCTTTTCTCTGGTTGAGGCTAGCGGGGGCTACTCTTCGTCGTGGTGTGTGGGCTTCTCATTGCGGTGGCTTCTCTTGTTGCAGAGCACGGGCTCTAGGCACCCGGGCTTCAGTAGTTGTGGCACGTGGGCTCAGTAGTTGTGGCTTGCGGGCTCTAGAGCGCAGGCTCAGTAGTTGTGGCACACGGGCTTAACTGCTCCGCGGCATGTGGGATCTTCCCAGACCACGGCTTGAACCCGTGTCCCCTGCATTGGCAGGTGGATTCTTAACCACTGTGCAACCAGGGAAGCCCCTATACTGGCTTCTTTTACTTAGCAATATGCATTTAAGCTTCTGGCATCTTTCTGTAGCTTGCTAGGTTATTTCTGTTTATTGCTGAATATATGTTTAACTTTTAAAGAAACTACCAAACTGTTTAACAAAGTGGTGGTATTCTGAATTCCCACCAGCAGCGTATGAGAGTTCCAACTCCTCCACATCCTTGTCAACACTTGGCATGGTCGGTCTTTTTAATTTTAGCCATTCCAGGTTTGCAATGGTGGTCCTTCTAGTTGATTTAATTTGCACTTTACCAGTGAATGAGCATTTTTTCATGTGCTTATTTGCCATCCAATATCTTCTTCGGAAATGTCTATTCATATCTTTCAACCATTTTTATTGGATTATTTTTTTAAGTTGTAAAAGTTCTTTATATATTCTAAATACAAGTCCTTCATCAGATACACATATATATATTTGCAATTATTTCCTAGTCTGTGGCTTGTCTCTTCATTTTCATAATAGTGCCTTTTGAAAACAAAGTGTTTTATTTTGATAAAGTTCAACTTAATGTTTTTCTTTTATTGTTTCAGCTTTTTGTGTCATCTTTGCCAAGACATCTTTGCCAAGCCCAAGATTGCTAAGATTTTTCCTATGCTTTCTTCTAGAGGTTTTATAGTCCTAGAGTATATATTTAGGTGTATAATCCAGTTGGAGTTACATTTTGATATGGTGTATCCTAAATAGTTATCAAATCCATCTATTTCCCACTTGTGTCTACCACCTCCCTAGTTTGATCCACCCACTCCCAGGCATCCTTCTCCTTCATTTGTACAAATCTGAGCAGCCTTCTATGTAGAACAAAATCCATCTTCCATGGCCGACCCAGACCTGCCACAACTCTTCTCTCCCTTTCTCTCTCTGTGCTCAAGCAACACTAAGAA